CAAACACTTTGCCGCATGTCTCGGTCGTCACCTCAAAAGTGTGTGGCGACAAGCTGCGATGTGTCCGTCTCCCGTCTCTGTCGCCTGCCTCGGTCGCTCGTCTCTGTCGCGTGCAGCCAAATTGTACCTTAAGAGACACAATTTGGTTTTTAACACAATTTTCTGCTCAGTATTCAATGTTCATTTTTCCTGTGACTTTTGTGCTGTCATACAACTAGTATATATGAAAGGATGGCTTGCTTGTCTGTATTGTAGATATCAGTGCCATTTGCACTGCAGTGGAAGTTTAGTATAACCAACTTTGGTGGGCCAACGTATTATATTTGTTATAACAAAATTGAGAGAAACTTGTGAACACTTTATACCTTTGTTTATGTTGCCATTGTGTATTGTGTAACTTCTCAGGCAGTGACTTCTGTGTTTGTCTGGGTTGTGTGTGTGTCAGTCACTGATTTTTTTAAGAAATGGTAACTTTCTATAGTGAAAGAATTTATTTTCATTCTCGTTGTCAACCTATGACACTGTCTGGATCTACGTCAAATATAACTTGTAAGGAAGGATCCTATTGCAGTTTATTATGAAACACTAATATTTTGGTCCATCGATACGCAACTTACGTAACCCAGTTCCGTGTTATTGGCTGCAAACCGGAACTGAGGATGCTAACGAAGATGCTTCTCGAAACGCTGGTGCTGTCTTCATTCAGCCACCTTACATGGCTGGTAGCCCGAGAACAATTTATTATACTTAATCACCGTGAAAGCTTCAGATAATACATATTTTGTTGTAATGTCAAATTTTTTATTATCTGTAGGTATGCAAAAAACGCTCAAAGGCATTCAACTCTTTGAAAAGTCCTAACACCACAAGTACCTTGCCTTCTACGAAGCTGAGTAACGGGAAACCATTTAAACATATTCGCCTTGTTCCCTTGTCCAATATCAAGCGAGTGATTGACATCAAGGAAGGAGAGGGTAAGTGGTTACTTAGTGAACATTTTGTAATCTAAAATCAAACTTGAAATGTTTATGTTCTCGCTTCAATTTTGTGGTCTGAAAAATGTGAGTATGCATACATAGTGATTACAAATGATTTTGCACTTATGAAAATTGATTTTAAATAATATGTAATATTTTTGTCACACACAGCAAAGTGGTTTAAAGTCTTAAGGCATTCTCCCTGATATATGCCTGATTGGTTGTGAAACGATGAATTCTGGTGATGTACATTGTGTGGATGTGATCTGGCTTAGGTGGTTTGGATTGTGATGGTGATCAATATCCATAATAGGGATGTGCTTATTGCCAGAGAATTCCTTGTGTTTTGTTAAAGCGCTATTGGTGCAGGCTTTCTGGTGAAAGGAGTTAATGATGGTGGCTTCTGATGTTATCCATTTCAATGGAGTTTTGAAGTGTATGATTCTGAAGTGGAGACTTGCATTTTTCTCATGAACTGAGAGTCCTGGTGTGCGTTTCATCTTTGCAGATTGCCATAATGTGTTTGCATTGATGTGCCAAAGTAACCAGGAAATGAAAGAGAAGTTGTACTCATTTACTTTGGCAGATGAAGAGACGGACAAACTTTCCTTTCTCAGGATCCTGTGTCGCCAAATGGCTAACACAGTCTGCAAAGCAGATGCAGTGAGTACAGTTTTAGTGATGACGTGATATTCTCTTTGTATTATCCCTTACCTCACATAAGTGAAAATCCCACCTCCTTTCTGTCCATTAGGACATGGCAGGGACATCACGTACCTGAGGCTCCTTGGCTTTCCAGTTACCAGCAATGACATGTTTTCAGATCCATTCATATTAGTACATACAAGCTCTGTAATTCTATCTTCATGTCATATGATTGAGTGTCCACCTTAATGATTTCCATTTTCTTCGTAGCTGACATTGCATAACATTTTATGTTGGTTTTTGTAATTACGCATACAGCTGTATATAATACACAAGTCAGTATACTTTTGTGCAGCATCACGAGATTCAGCACTGGTGTTCACTGTATGTAACCTTGCTACCAGCTTCAGGTAGACGGATGAAGGTGGTCAGAAAGTCACCACCAATTCCATCTGACTTCTATTGCTCTAATGAGCACTACTGAGTGCTGCTAATTGTTTGCAATATGTTTCATTTATTTGAGCATCTATGTTGTTTCTCTTCATTTATATAACTTAACTTTACTAGATGGCTTAGAGAATCCGAAGGTTCATCACTGAATTAACCGAAGCCCTCCACCGGACCCTGTCCTGGGCCAACAAAATCCAGTCTCCTTCAACTCCTATCTCCCACAGATCCCGCCTGACATTATCCTCCCATCTACGCCTCCCCAGGGGTCTCTTCCCCTCAGGCTTTCCAACCAATACCCGGTGCACACCTCTAGTCCCATCCATGCGCGCTACATGCCCCGCCCATCTCATTCTTTTCGACTTAATCACCCTGACGATACTGGGGGAGGAGTATAAATTTTTAAGTTTGTCATTATCTTCATTTCTATAATCTGACAAAAACTTATAAAATGAGTAAGATATTTGACATGTCTTTAAAATTGCCCTTTTTGTTTTAAAGACCATGCGAATACATTATTCTTAGGGTGATAATTTTGGGACCAAATGATTTTAGGTTAGGTGAGGTGGGAAACCATTTTAAGTGGGGACTACTGAGTAAAAGTTAGTTTGGGTGTTCCTCTCTGTCACATCATGACAGGCACATGGACATGAACTGCAGTTTTCAAATGCCTCGGGCACAGTATGTTGTGAGGCTGCATTGATGTGGGTTCTTGTTGCAGGAGAATTTCCTCACTTCGCTGGACTCTCACCAATTGGACATTGACACCAGTGAACTGACACTTGGGACTCTGAGTAAAGCATTGAAGTAAGTTTCAGATATGTAATTTACATTCACCTCATTTTTCAGACATTTTCCTGGCTGAAATAGCTCAACGTTAACAATTTTACTTGTATCTGAAAAGAGGCTGATGCCATCTGTAATGTGTGAGCTCTCTTTAATTTTCATCAGACATGTAGAGCTTATAAAATACTCCTGGCTTTCATGTAAGTATATATATAGTACACTAAGTATATATGTTCATATCTGAACATTACAATAGTGATCTTCTGTAATGTATGCCAACTGTTGCTTTAATATGTTCCAGATTTGCTTCTAGGACGAAAATGAAAGTGGGCCGAGCCTTTAGTTTCAATAAGACTCCTAGCAAGTTGAAACGAGCAGTTTCAACAATGATGAGTCCATTTGGTAGTACAACAAACCTTACCCCAGCCTCACAACTTGCGCAGATGAGGCTTGCCAGCTGCAATAACCTTAATGTAAGCAGAGCCGCTCTTTATATTTTCAGCGTTCAATTAATGTTGATATGTCTTAAAAATTAATGTCGTCAGGTACTACCAGTGAATTGTTTTTGCTTGTCTGTGTCACATAGCACGGCTTTTGTTTCTTTTTATTTTATTAGAGAAGATTTAATTTCTATTATTCAAAAATCTCTCGCCACCTTTATTTGCTTGATATTTTAAGTAGTGTGATCGAAGTTACTGTTAATGTTCACTGCCTAGCTAGATCCGGCCATATAAAGTATCCACAGTAAGTGCTAAGTAGCCAGTAACTGGTTAATCATTGGAGTTACTTGTTGATTGAAAATATTCTAGTGAATAACGATGGACTAATAACATAATGAAATGCATTTTCATCTTCTGTCGGTTCTCACCTCTTCCTTTTATTTTACTAGAAACTGAATTTCCAGCTTATTTTTGAAAATTTTAATTTTTTTCTGCTTGTAAGAATTATATGTGTGGAATTGCTCACATAATCCTGTTTACCAGAGATCGGCGAAGCTGCTTGCTAGCCTGGAGTTACCGTCAGTCTCACACATTGTAACTGCCACCATTTTTTAGAATATAAAATCATGGCAAACATCTTATTACATAACCTCTGCAGTTAATGTAGTCTTATTAAATACTTATTGAATATCTTACTGGATTTTTTTCATGTCTTATTCTTGTTCCTCAGGAATTGGAAAACTCATCAGTTAAGGAAGAGTCTTCATATGTTGCTCCTATGTCTGTGCAGCCAATAAGAAAAAACAAATGTTCATCCCTCAGTGCAGCTGCTCTGCAAAGGTTATAACAGAGTGGCTATCTTCTGCAACATGGCTTAGATGTATTGATGTAGTTATAAAGATGAATTTATGCACAACCAGTTTGTGTGGTTGCAATCAAAATATCAATTCATATCAAATGGAAAGACACTGGGAATGTAATTAAAGTGAATAAAAATGTAAACTAGAAGGGTCACTCCAAAAGTAATGCCCCACATTTTTTTTAAAGAAATCGATATTTATTCTATAGCATTGCTATTGATACATTTTATAGGTACATAAATCCATTTTTCCATATAATCACCTCCACTCTCTACTGCGTTTTACTGCCTCTTACCAAGTGTTTCTATATCCTTGCAAAATTGAGGGCCTGTATTCAAGCAATTTTTCGCCACTGCTACAAGACTCGTCGTTTTCGAACTCGGAACCACGAAGTCTGTCTTTCAGTTTACCGAAAAGATTGTAAGATCGACACCATCATCCACATACACATGCAAACGCTTGTGCATGTTTCCAACTTGTTCTCACATGTTGCTTCTACCAGATGTCGTGTGAAGCCGCCATCTTGAACGTATGGTATAACAACGCCACTAGCGGGAAGTGACTGAACTAAGTACGATTAGAAGCGGGAAGAATATGGCTACAAACTGAAATAAGCAAAGTTGTGAAATAAAAATATCTTTAATAAAATGTGGGGCATTACTTTTTGAGTGACCCTCTTATGAAAGTATGGTAACATTTTTAAGGGACAAAAGAAAATGATTTTATTGACTGATGATATGACATGAGTTGTGATTGAGACAAATATTAAATATTTAGTTACTGTTCGCGACTGTAATCTTGAGACTTGCAAGGAATGCAGGAAGTCCGAATCGTTGAAGGCTGACTCTATCTTTTCTCCTTCACCTCACCCCCACAAGTTTCAAGATTACAGTCGCGAACTATAGTTGAATTTCTTATTGCATTCTGTGGCTAGAACAAGCTGTATTTAGCAGAATCGTGTAGAATCATACTTCGTTCCGATTATCAGGTACGTGTATTTTTTTTATTATTGGTATTTATGATAATTTATTATAATAATCTCCAAATTTATTTTCTGAGCAATTTTTAAATAAACATGATATGTTCAGGATAGGCACTTTGAAACAACATCAAAAATAAAATATACCATTAATAGGAAGAAGGTGGTTAATGCAGTGAAGGCTTGCTTTAAAGTGGAGCTTATGTAATTTATTGAGGACTTGAACTTTTCTAGGAGTGAACTAAGGATGAAGCGGAGTCCAGAAAATTGAGGGTAGTCTGAATATTATTTGGCTGCTTTGTAATTGAATCTCACGTATCTGAATGCTAGAATGGCCAACCTAATTTCTTTCCAAATGCTCCTCCATAAGGAAAGTTTGAAAATTACGTCACTTCATGAAACCAGCCTCTTGTTGAGTATTATTCTAGTGTTAGAGTGGAGACCAATAATATTTTGTATTCAGGAGATGCTCATGTGATTGGTGAATCATAGCTACATACCTCGATAAGGGGCATGAATGAGAAGAAATTATTGTCATTTAACTCGAGGAATGACCTTGAAATTTTAAGGTGCCAGTCCGAGAAAAGGATGGAAGGATCCTGTTCATACGGACCTGTCCTCAGACAGAACACTAAATAATAATAAGATGAGGTGGTCTAGCGGTTAGAACGCTGGCCTTGTAATCCTGGGGTCTCGGGTTCGCATTTATAACTTGTGTTGGGCAAGGCCGTGGCCTAGGCAACACGGAGTTTTCCTCATTGGCATCCCAACAATTACTCCATTCACACGCAGAAGAAGGCAATGGCAAACCACTTCTGGATCATCTGCCAAGAACGTATATGAACAGGTCCCAGTCCGAGAAAAGGATGGAAGGATCCTGTTCATATGGACCTGTCGTCAGACAGAACACTAAATAAATAAAAAAAAGTAATTTTAATGCCCGTCTTCCCTCATGGACTGTAGTTCAGTGAAAGGAGAAGACTGTCTCTCCTTGTACGTCTTGTACGCTACCCTCTTTCAAGAGCCAGGAGCAATGCAGAACTCTGACTAGGCGAACGAGGGGTACTTCTATTCATTCCAGGGTTATAGAGGGCTCCTCCTGTGCTAATTCTGCCTTTTGCATGTAATTACTACGATTTAGATTTCGTATAATGAATTTCGTATGCCTCCTGAACTTTAGAGGCCTATGAACATTTCTATTTCTTTGTTTTTGTTTAAATACTGGGAAGACTAAATATTTCTCCGTAAGATCTAGTCTCAGACAAAATTAAATGTTTTGTATTCTGCGTATTCTCTGTATACAGTGTGCCGGTTTCAACGTAATAACTTTTAAAGAGTAAACTGCACTCCATAAATCAACGTAGTCTGAGTGTCTCCAAACACTTGTTGTTCTGCTTGAATTTGCAGACTTACAAAACAGTAAATACAGGTCCAAGGAAATTTTATTCTCGTGTACAGCTTTCATTTTAATACTTTGTTGACTTTTTATACTGTAAATGTGCTCCGTGCCATTTTGATATTTGCATCAGATATGAAGACTGAACCTTTCTCGTAGCTTAGAGTGAATAAGATATTTCGTAAAGAAAATATAACGTATTGATCAATATAAAATATTGGCCAGGAATAAATATACGAGTACGTGGATAGACTTTACCTTTGAAATTGAAAATGTACCTGTGTTATACTGAACAAACAGATTTTAATTTTTTTAAATTTTGAAGGAACATTAAAGCAGACAGAATGGGACAAATGCTGCTCTTAGAAACGATGAAGTCCACATTAAATCTTCATGTATGTGTCGTTTTGTTAGTTAAGTTCAGCTTCACACATCGGATAGACGAGGAAAGAATTTTGGTCGGAAAAAACTAAAAACTGTCATAGAAATCTTTAAACAGGGGTATAAATTTCAGGAGTTCAGTTTAAATATTATCGAAAACCGAGGGTAGTGAGACAACGCAGGCCTCTACACGTGTCCGTAGGTTGAAAAGCTCGTGATAAAACATCACGTTGGTAACCGAGATATGTCTGCAGTGAAGTGGCTTTGACTGTACCACGATGCTGTACAATGACTGGATTTTGCGATGTAAATAGAGCGTCTGTGATTATTATTCAGAAGAATACAGCTCCTGTACCTATTAATTTCCGTGATTTTCTTTGTGTTTCCTGTTAGGAGTCCAAAATATGGAAGTCTTCTTCATTATAAGATGTGACAATAGAAAGGAACTCTTCACGTTAGTACCCCATAATTGGCCAGTTAAAGAACCTTTCGCCCTGAGCTTTGTCTCCCTCCCCCCCCCCCCCCCCCATCTAATATCTTCATTCACGTAATTCAACAAGTATGATATTTGCAGACTGTATCAACTTCAGAGGTTGTCGACGTCGAATAAGATTTGATGACAACGAAAGCAGGCACACCAGCACAAAGAATCCCCCCTCCCCTCTACCTCAATGAAAACCGATGATAGGAAACATCGCTGGACCACTTCTACTGCAGGATAGAGTTCGCCAGCAATCCGCATTATGCTTTCATAATGCGCGTTGGATGCTGGTGGCGCAATATGGCCGCTTAAATATGTAATGTCCTTAACTCGATACCCAACACGTTCAAATCTCGAAAGCTACGTTCTGACCTGTACGTTTTAGTGCTGAGGTTTCGTCACAAAAATTCTGCCAGTTAACTTACCATTAGTCTTATTTCGAGGCTTCCTGCTTCGTAGTGTATTAAACAATTAAATTAAATTCGTCTATGCTAGTTATTTTCAAACATTTCTTATTTTATTTTATACGATATATGTCAGTCAACAAGCTAGACCATTTTCAGGTGGCACTATAATTTTGTAAAATTAAAATTGAACTATGATTTGGAATTATAAACAAGGAGTAAAAATACTTAACAATAATTAACTAAAAAGATAAAATGTAATTTGCATCACACCCTCTGTTAAAGCCACTAAACCTAAGGAATCTTTGATGTAGTTTACTTGGTTTAGTTAATAAAACTACATAAATGTTAGTTTTCATGGTTAAAATAGCCAAAACAGTCCGCAGGTCGACATTGATTAATGTGAGTCTTTGCGTCAGAAGACCATGTGGCCATTGTAATGGTTGACCGATGTCTTCTTGGTTACTGAATAATGTGAGTCTTTGCGTCAGAAGACCATTGTAGTGGTTGACCGATGTCATCTTGGTTACTGAACATTATCTCTGGTTTAAAATTACAAACTAACAGTTTAATGTACCGAGGATTATAGCTTTATGCATTATTCTACTGATCTTCAGATTGCAGTGCTAAGGCTCCGTTTATGTGCAGGTACATTGTGAAAAGTCTTAATTTTAAATGTTAATATCTGCTTAAATATGCCGCTGATATTAATGTGGTGTAATAGAACATGTAAGTGGCTGGAGTTTTCTGACCGATTTGTGATCCCATCTAGCGGGAAATTAAGTAAGTAGTCTAGTGCAAAATGGCATACTTCAGTGAACTTCGTGTGTTTTGCGTGAAAGGTTTTTGTCAAAATGGCAGTGTTGTGAGGGTGCAGCGTGAGTGTAAAGTAATATTTCATAGAAGAGAAGGTTTAAAAGGAAATTCGTGCCTGTCATTCCGAAACGACTTCTGCTTTAACGGGTAAGTTGTTACAGGAACAGTCTGACTGTCTTTACAAATTCCACAGTTGTCAGTCACTACCTACCGCTTTACTTACGACGCACAATCTCGGGCCAGCACAACAAGTGTATCTTTCTCAGTCTCCTTGTTTTCCAGTGTCACATGCTTCAGGCTATAAAACAGATCGCAGTTGATGTCTTCCGTATACATCATTAATATATCATCATTTACGTGAACCTTGTATTAATGTGTGTACGAAGTTCTACCATGTTTCTTTAAGACAGTGGGGCGAATTTTATAAGAGATATTTAGGCATTTTTACAACTAAAATTTGCGCATTGCGTCTGTTCACTTTTTCTATCTGTCCACCAGCCCTCACGTAAAATCTCTAGAACTGCTGAACGGATTTAAGTTATATTTTAATGTTAAGAGTCCCGTTGAAATTTATGGATAAATTAAAATTTTTGTGTGAATCGAACACAAATAATGCACACTTAACATGAAAACCCACGTGCGTTTATGCTCGCGGAAGTAGTTACTCATTTACTAAGTTAACTATGATCCACTGGCGATATTCCCAACGCTCTCTGGCTCAGCGCCCCCCATTTTAAGCTGTATCTTTGCAGGAGGGGGGCAGGAGTTCTGGCTTACTACGTCAAGGAACTTGTAGCTTTAGTCAACCCAAGGAAGCTGAGAAGAAAATTGTGGGAAGGACTCACTTGTTGTGATTAGAATGTAATTAATTTGCTTACAAAACTGAATCAAACTGAATCAAAATCACACTTGTTCGACGAAATTGAAGGGAGGTTGGCTCATATTATTTGAATGAGCAATTAACCGAGATCAAAAATACAATTTACATATTAATTAAATTCGTTTGTCTTATAACAGGTTTTGATGCAATTTATCAGGCTGCCTGTGTCAGTCAGTGTACTCTTGTCATGTAAAGGAGCAGCATCATTCATCAATTCTAATTAATTGGGTCAATAAAATCAAGTCACACATAAATTATTTACGTAATAACAGGCTTTGAAATCATTAATTAGATGATACTGGTCAGTGAACTCTCGTCATGTAAATATTGCGAGGAAAGGCAATTTAATCGGTTAATTAATATGATATCACGACATTATATTAGAGGTAACTGCCTTGAACAGCGTGTTCTAGAATATGTCAAAATATACTTTATAACCACTTCATAACCGTGTGAAAATACAGAAATGAAATTTGAAACAGAACGACGTTGTGCGGAAGTTTTGCGAACTTCAGTCCGCTGCATGGGACTTACAACCTTGGGGACAACAGCTGATGGAGTGTTGTCTGTAGTAGTAGTAGTAGCTTGCTATTGCACGTTTTTCGCCATGTATTTTCGGACCACTGAGTAGAATCCTGAGAGTTATTCATTTGCAATAATGAGTGTAGCAAAATCATAGAAAGGACAATAACAAATGTGTTTACCAAACGGAAACAACAGATATAAAGGAAATTATGCGCATGGACTCCGCCATGATGAGTAATCAGCGCACCAGCCGGGTATACTATGAACTATCACATCAAGTCTCATCATCGTTCATTCGTTATAACCAAAAACGGAATACATTAGTTTATAGCCATAAATCG